CGTTCCTCGGAGACAAAAACAAGGAAAAAGATATTTAGCTGAGCACAAGGCCTGTAAAATGAGCTTCTTATGCTTCTTTTTGTTATGAAATGGGGTTAGCAGGATTTAAGATCTATACCACAGTACTTGTAACCTATGTTTTTTTTGTTTGTTTGTTTTTTGATGGGGTGCTTTGATGAGCCTTTTGCATATATTCAAACAAATTTAAAGGTACAGAACAAAATATAATGTATTATAAGATATATTTTTGGGGTGAAATTGTTAACATTCAACATACACGTCGCAATATTAAAATTGGATGCCCTTCAAAAATACATGGCGACAACAGCAGTTCTCTCGAGTGACTGTGTGTGTGTGCATGCGCTGTGTTTTGGCAAGGGTCTGGACACCAAAATAATTTGCACTGGGCCCTATAACCCTAATGTTACACCTCTGGTTGGATCACAGCAACGTAGTAATGCATAATAATAATAATAATAATAATAACAATAATAATAACTGTTTAAGTGTAATGATATTTCTCTGAACAGTGTAAACAAAACATTGTTAAATGTTTTTACACAAGTCATTGCTAAATTTGACACTAAACTGAGCAGAATTAATTTTGAAATTTGATTCACCTAAAGCACTCTTAAATTCAACTCTCTAGGTGCGAAAATGACACTTTGTTTTTTTATAGTGTGGGTGTGTTGTTTTTCATGTTCCCGTGGGAATTTATTAATCTTTATATGTCAAGCTGTTGTGTTCTTTTCGGTCTTCAGCTGGGAGCAGGCTTCAAACGAGTCGCACCTGTCCCTCATCAGGCATCAGAACCTACTGCCTTTAAAGAGCCGGCATCACTTATTGCCTTGCTCATGACGCTGTCTCCAAGTGCTAATTTCCAAGACGTTCTTGGCCCTTTTTTTTGCCTCATAGACTTGCCTCGTACTTTATCCTATTTTTATTATGCGTTCCTGGTGGATGTTCTTTGTGTATTGGATTCTCTTATCCTTTGATTTGACAAGCAATTTGTTTTTCTTGCTCCTTGCCTTTTACAAGCGGTTTTGGTTTGTTCTCGCCTTTTCCTGTTTTGTTTGTTACCAGCGTCCTTAGTTGTACTTTGTTGGTCTTGCGTTTTTTTAAATTAACATATTTTTGTTTAAAAGCTTCTTCTCTCTGTCTATGCTTGTGGAAACCGTGTTCTGCCTGAATTCCTTCCAACCATCTGACAATATATCATAGTAATTGCATTTGGTACAAACACACAGTCTAACCCTATGTTACAGTCATTGCAATGCTTTTCTCAACTTGTTTTTGGTCTTTGGATGAAAGAAATCACATATCAGTCCATCAGCCAAGCATCTGTATTGTGACATGCAGCTCAACAAATCGAGAGTTGGGAGGGAAAGTGGTGATGTTCAAGTTGGCCATCCTGCATTTGGCATCTTGCCTTGTTTTTGGTTCATTCCATTAGGGCAGATTTTTGTCATGGGCCACGTTGTAGTTACGGTTTCCTTGGGCGGGCCATTATGACTGTGAATATTGTGAAACCGTATAAATGTTTGATCACCTCCACATATTGCATATACAGTGCACAACAAATTGGTGGACAACTAGCTTTGAAATGAGGAGTCAAGAATAATGGTTAGTTCAGCCATTGTTTACGTTAATGTAATAATTACATAATGAGATGATGCTTGCAATATCTCTATGTAATGATGGACTACATATGACAATTTGAAATTTTGGTTCAGACTTTAGCAAGCATCATGGAAAAGTTGACATGCTTGATTTGCTCTCGCGGGCCACACAAAATGATATGGTGGGCCAGATCTGGCCCCCGGGCCTTGAGTTTGACACCTGTGCCTAACTGCTTAGACTACCCGATTGGCAAGAAAAACACCTTTATTTTCATTCAGCAGGTAATGCTCAATCTAGCTAGGAAATGGTAGGCTGGCAGCAAAAATTCAAATGTTTAAAAAAATAATTTTACCATGGAAATGTCAATCTACAGGTAGTACTGTACTCCTAATTCCAGGTGCGGAAATTAAGAATAAAATAAATAAATAATAAACCAGGTGGTCTAAAGCAACATCTATTGTTTAAAGCCTCTAGCCCACTGAGCGGTGAGCGTGGTTGCCAGTGTTTTTGAATGCAGCAAATTTTGCATTCTCATCAGGGTTCATTCAAGGTGGCAAATGTTTGCCAAATGGTCGCCAGATGTTGGCTGTTAGGGAATTTTGAACATGTTGAAAATTTCCTCGCACCAAGAAAATCACTAAAACTGTTTGAAGTTGGATTTACAAAAAAATTTAGTGAAATTTTCATATGTAGAGAAATATTAAATAATACATTAAAACAGATTTAGTGTAGTACTTTGATAGTATATGAATGAATGAAGCATTTTTTTAATGTGAATTTGAAAAGTGTTAAAGCATTGTACAGCACTTTGAGTTGCATTCTTATGGATGAAAAGTGCTATATAAATAAAGTTTGATTGATTGATTGATTGATTGATTGAATGACAACTGAGCAAGAAATGGTATCCAGCCTGCAATAAAGTGTTGTATACAAAGTAAATCAAAAACTATTCTACAAAACCACTATGGACGCCCATCAATTTTGATTTGTGCCTCAAGCAGCTTTCTTTCTCTATGAAAGAGGGAAACCTTTCAATTTGCTCATATTGAGAATGTGGCGACAAAAAAACTGTCCTAATTTGTTAATGTTAGAAAAGCTAGAAGGCACACTTTGTACATAACAAGACCATGACTCGCATTCAAACCTGGCGCGATGCGCCGGTGGATGACAGAGGCAACGCTGCACAATTGACTCGTGGGTTATTTGTCTAGGTCCTACAGGAGAATCAAATGAGGTTGTTTACAAGCTGATGCTGAATAAAGGCACGTCATGTGCTTTCTCTTTTGCATCGGCTCCCCCCGGGCAACCCATTCACTTATGAAAAGGCAGCACTCGGCTATAGAATTTACCATCTAGAGTGGATAATTGATTTCTTTTGGGGAAAGTACATGAGTATGAGATAAAGAAAGGTGATTAGACAAGATAGAAAACATTCATCTTAAAACAAGTTCTTGGAAAAAAAAAAATCATCAATTTCTGTACCAACAATATAAATACAGTTAAACCTTCTCTTTTGATCGCAGTTGTGATACTAACAGTAAATCAAAAGGAAAAAAGTCATGGGTCTTTTGAGTGTAGCTAACTCAGCCATCTTGTGTTGCCTTTTAAAACCTTTAGGAAAAGGTTCTAAAGAGGGAGAATAAGTTAGGAATAAAACCTATTGCAGCAAAAAGTTTGTCAGTAATCTTCTTCAAAAACTATCTCTGACTCAAATGGCTAAAGGCAAAATAACAGCATGGTTTGTCAAAGTCGGTCATCTTTCGGTTTTGCGTTAAATTGGATGGAATGAATATGTTTGATTAGAAACGCATGAGAGATAATGCTCTAATCATCCCGTCTGATGTTAAGGGGAGCATGGAATGATTATCATCATAAGAAAATAATTTAAAAAGAGACATTGATTTTTCAACTTTCAGAAATTCCAGCTTAAGATTTGTTTTCCTTTGAGGACAAAGATATGAGTAGTCAACCTAAGTAGTAAGTAGCACGATGAAATTCGTCTTGTCTTCTTATTAGTTGAAATAAGTTAAAGGTTTCTTTTTTTCAGACAATGGCCTTTTTTTTGGGGGGGGTGAAAAGAAAAACTTTCACCTAGCTAACAGCTTCGGCTGTCATGTCAGCCTTGTCACTGCTTCGTTGTGGCACGTCTATACACACACACACACACACACACACACACACACACACACATATATATATATAT